CCTATCACCAAATTTTATTTTTTTATTTTTTAAAGATAATATAAGTAATTATATAAATTATTCTTAAATTGTAAAAAAGATAACAACCATCATTTTGAAATACTAAGAGAACCTTTTTAAAAAAGAAATAAAGATAAAGTGAGATTTTATAATAAGATAAATAATTAAAATCAAAGAATGATGATAGGGCTAAACTAAAAAAATTATTTATTTTCTTAAAATATGAAAAAAACAAAAATCAACCTCTAACAATGTCTAGATCAAACGACCACTATTATTTTGCAAAAGGGAGTAGAATTTTGTATATGAATCTAGAAATTAAGCTAAGAATTTTCAAGTCGCCAACCATCCTCGAAAGCAGGTAACATTCTCAGAAGTGGTTGCAACTAGGATTGTGGTTTCGAACACAACCCCTTCCCTACCATTTAAAGGACAAACATATTACTCGAATAACTGCCAACTTAAAGAAATAAAAAATAAAAAATAAAAAAAGAAAGAAAAAAAGAAAGAAAGGGAATTTAGTGGACTTTGTCAAATTAAAATTTTCTAGCCAAACACGGTAGTCAAGCCAATGAGTTTGAGTCTTTCTTTGAACTTCAGTGTTTGGGCGGTCCCACAACATGAATAGAAACATACATTTCATCTCTCTACTACTTATAAAGTTCCACCTATACTGTTTTCTAAATCTCAAGTCTAATATGCATTTGAGGAACGAAAGAAATGATGATCATCCGAACATCATCTATCTTTGCTTTCTTAGTACTGCTAATGATCGAATCAGCAGCAGGCCAGGTTCTGGCGAAGCCTGGTTGTCATCAAAAGCTTTGTGGGAATGTCAGCATTCCATACCCCTTTGGAATCGGAACAGATTGCTACATGAAGGAATGGTTTGAGGTCTCCTGTGATAACGCTACCACACCTCCTAGGATATTCCTAAACCTAACCAGCGAAAAAATAGAGGTACTGTATTTCTCTCTTGTTCCCAGCTTTATTAGCGTCAAACTACCCGTAAACTGCACGAACTGTGACAGAACCTTGGCACGTTTGAATCTTGCTGGAAGTCCTTTTATGTCCGTCTGGTCAACGTTAAACTTGGAGGAATATGTTCCAGGCGTGTTAGAATGGGCGATTACTGATGAGGATGTAACACAATTACGACATACAAATGAGATTACATTTAATTGTTTCGAGTTTCATGGTCCTAATGATACTATTGGTTATGGTCAGTTTGATGGTACTATTGGTTATGGTTATTACAACGATTCCTACTTGTTTTTCCCGTATAATTTATCTTCAACGTCCTGGAACGCAAGTCAACGATGTGTTTGTGAACGTGGATTTGAAGGCAACCCTTATCTACCTCATGGATGTCGCGGTGAACTTCAATCTCCACTTTTTCTCTAGTTATATCTGTGTCTCGTTTCTTTTATTTATAATATTTATTATTTAATTTTTTTACAATAATCTATCAACTGGGCTTTGTTTCTTTTATTTATAATATTTATTATTTATTTTTTTTTACAATCATCTATCAACTGAGTTTTGTTTAAAAACCATTAAACATTATAAGTTTTAAAAAAAAAAATTTAGTGCTTGTAACATAAGTTTTTAAGAAAACATGGATATTTGTTCGGCCTTTTGATCCTGGTTAGTTTCACAAGAACCTGCAATAAAACTAACCAAGGGCAGCAGGCTTAGCCGTTGGAGATTTTTCTATGCCTATGCTATTTTTTTTGCTCTATTTTGTCCCAACTGTCCTGCTGATTTTATTTTTGTTTTTGTCATAGATATTGATGAATGCAAGGACCCTCGGTTCAATTTCACGTGTTTTGCGGACTCAATTTGTGTAAACAAGAATGGAACCTACGGTTGCGAACCCAAACAAAAACAAGGCAAAAAAGCCTGGCCAGTAATTTTGGGTAAGCCCCATACTTTTTCGACTTTTATTTATTTATTTATTTTTAGCATAATATATCAATTTTATAATATATTGGGGGGTGTTTTTTTTTTCGTAAAAGTAATACATTCGGGCGTTAAAAGTTAAAAATGGTTTTTTTTTTTCCTGGGAACTGCACAAAAAGGTCCCTGTATGATGCTTGTATGATTCCCACTCCTCGGTCCACCATCTCGGCCTTCTACTAGTTCCCAATCTCAATAACACGGTTCCCCTTACGAGAAGCAAAAGGGCATTAGAAAAAGAGATACTTGTATGGTTCCTCGGCAGAATAACACAACAAAAAATTAAGCTTAAGCATACTTCTCCAGTTCAGTACCTATCCTTTGTCTTCAACAGACCTTTCAGTAGCATCTAGAAAATAAACTGGTGTCCAGGAATCCAACCAGAATTCCACGCCAATCTAAACCAAGGAATTATATGAACCTGGAAGTCTGTAACCTCAACAATTGACAACTGGTAGCTTTATTGATTGAGAAGCCCCTGACTACAACAAAAATTTATTCGCTCCCTCGGACAAAGTCAAACCTTTTGATCTCAGTCACCATACCAGAATATCTCCTTCCAAAACTAGTTGGCATCAGCCATCCAAATTGCCCTCCCTGGGAAATTTTGTTTCATGCCCCGCAGTTAGTGATCTCAGCCATGTAGCCTATCACAAAGTCTGTCTCCTGGTAGCCAACACTCACAAAAAAGGGAGGTTTGTCTACCATCCCCAACTTCAATACTAACTACTAGCACCATCTCTCATCATCTTTGTCACCTATTCACCTAAAGATCTTTCTTAAGGACCATGCACAATCCCGTGGACTTTTATTTATTTTATTTCATTTCATTTCATTTCGAATTTTCTAACTAACCATGAAACTGGACTTTTATACAATCAAGTTTTGATATACATGTGTACCTCCCGCTAAAGTCATCCGTTTCTCCTTTCTTATTCACTGCAGGCATTAGCCTAGGGTTTGGAATAGTGTGCTTACTTATTGGTACATACTGGTTGTACAAAATTTTAGAGAAGAGAAGGAAAAAGAACCTCCAGATGCAGTTCTTCGAACGGAATGGAGGTTTATTATTGCAGCAACAACTTTCTTCAACTGAGGGTAATATTGAAAAGACCAAAATATTCAGTACCCAAGAGTTGGAGAGGGCAACTGACCATTTCAACAGGAATAGAATACTTGGTCAGGGAGGTCAGGGCACTGTTTATAAAGGAATGTTGGTTGATGGAAGAATTGTTGCGGTTAAGAAGTCAAAAGTACTGGATCAACAGAAAGTTAAAGAGTTCATCAATGAGGTGGCCATTCTTACAGAAATTAATCACAGAAACATTGTTAAGTTATTAGGTTGTTGTTTGGAGACTGAAGTTCCTTTGCTAGTTTATGAATTCATTCCTAATGGGACACTTTTCCAGTACATACATGATGAAAATGAAGACTTCCCATTAACCTGGGAAAGACGGTTAACAATTGCAGCAGAAGTAGCTGCTGCCCTTTCCTACTTGCACTCAGCAGCCTCCATTCCCATTTATCATAGAGATGTTAAGTCCTCAAATATTCTATTGGATGAAAAGTACAGAGCAAAAGTTTCAGACTTTGGGACATCAAGATTAATTGCCATTGATCAAACTCATTTGACCACAAATGTTCAAGGCACATTCGGGTACCTAGACCCTGAATATTACCAATCTAGTCAATTTACAGAAAAGAGTGATGTTTACAGTTTTGGCGTTGTCCTTGTTGAGCTCTTAACAGGAGAGGAACCAATTTCTTTAGCAAGGGCAGAAGGAGGAAGAAGTTTGGCCTCTCATTTCATTCATTCCATGGAAGAGAATAGTCTCTTTAGTATTCTTGATGCTCGAGTTAGGGAGAGTTCTGCACATGAAGAGATAACAAAGGTCGCTAAACTTGCACATCGATGCTTGAGCTTGAATGGTAAAAGGCGGCCAAAGATGATAGAAGTTGCTGCAGAGTTAGAGCAGATTCGTCTTTTGCAAAACAATTCAAATGGTCAACAGAATCATGAAGAGGTTACGTATGTCAAGAGTGAAGTAACCAATCTCTGGGATGGTACCTCGACATCAATAGGTTCAGGTTTGGACTCTGGAGCTTCTTTGTCCATAGATATGCAGCCATTAATTTCCAATAAATCACGGGGATTTAACTGATTTATCCTAGAATGCGCTTATTCCATGTTGAGTAGCATAATAAGCTCTTTCTTTCTTTAGTGTTTGAAAATTTGTAGTTCATCTAATTTTTATTTTTGTTGCTTTGTAGTTTAAAGTTCAAATAAAGTTTATGCACTGCTCGGTTACAATAATTTGATATCATGATGACAGCTAAGAGCATAAGACCATTTCCTTTCCAGTTTTAAATTCTTTGTCTCACAAAAACTTGCCAAGATTAAATTAAGTCAACTTTTAGATTTGGTGCTATGTGCATATTAATATGTGTATGCATGAGTTATTTAATCGTATTCCTCAAAATGCTAGCACAAAGTCATTTCCTAATTCCAGCTCAACTATCCTGAAACTTTCACTACTCAGACAAATTTATCTTAGTAGCAGTATTCACAGTAAAGCATTGAGTATATTTTGCTGTCAAGAAAAAAAGCATTGAGTATATTTTCCTTGCTTGGTTTATCTTATGAAAGTATGAGGAGAAATTTGAAAGAAAAATATAGTTATTCACACCTTCAGCATTAACAAAACAACCATCAGACTAGCATGAAATGCCCTTAATTCCTGTATAGCTAAAATAACATATTCTAAGATAACATGGTAATTATAGCATTGAAAAACCAGGTAATAAGACTTACCTGTGTGCAGAATCGTCCAAGTAGACAGTTATTCCCTTAAAATAGCCTTCCAAGTAGTTTTCTTCCATCTGCAAACTCGAAAGTCAAAACAAGTATCATAAGACAAGAAGAGGCCTAATTTCCGCCATACATAATATGGAAACCGAGATGATATAATTCAGTCTACATCTTTTCATTTTCATCCTTACAATTAAACCAAAAAACTCAAATGCATTCTTATTTCATCTCAGCTGATGAAAACTGAAATACTAGTATTTAAATTCTTTTTAAAATAGAAAGTGACATAACTAAATTGGACAGCCTCTATTTAACAAGTTAGACAACTAATTAGACCAGGTCTATTTAGTAAGTGAGACAACTAAATCAGACTAAGAGGAGTATTCAGCAATTGGTCAACAGGTGAATGTGTTAATGATATCTAAGCATTAGAATTTTACATGAAACTAGAAGCTTAGGATATTTCCAAGTGGCGACCAACCATCCTCTAAAAGGAAGTTAGATTGCTACATGAACAAATGGTTTGAGGTCTCCTGCAATGAAACTTCCACCCCTCTTACAACTTTACTAACCAGCATAGAAATTGGGATGCTGTATTTTTCTCTTGATTCAAGCTTTGTTACCGTCAAAATACCAATAATCACCCGGAACTTGTCTACAGAGTTGAAATCTGTGAATTTCTCAGGAAGTCCTTTCATCTCCACTTTTTCTCTAGTTATATCCATGCCTCGTTTCTTTTATGTATACAGTAATATTTACTTTACTTTTTTTTTTAAATATTAAATACAATAAGAAAAAAGATAGCAATAAGTTTTATTGCCCGCAGCATAAGGTTATATATATATGTATATATATAATTTAATGTATTTTAGTTCAAACTGCACGTTAAAAAGTGCAATCCTGCCACTAAAATTAGTAAATTACAATGGATAAACAAAAAGAAAAGTTTCATTAAGAATATTTTGATAATTTCAGTATTGGGATTATAGTGTTGGGATTATACTTTTAATATGTAGTCCAACCTGAAAAACATTTTTTTTATATAAAGAAGCTGCTTTTTTCTCTTTTTTTTTCAGAAAAAGAAAAGCATTGTCATTTATTCAGCCATATGATCTTGGTAACCAAGGGTCGAAGGTGTGTACCTGTTGGTAATTTTATTTTTTATGCCTACATATTTTCTTTCACTTTTTTTCGTTTGTCTTGCTGATTTTGTTTTATTTATATCCAAAAACACTATAACTATAATTTCATGTGATATTATGAGATTATAACATAATATGTTATTATATAAGTAATTATTTGTATTTAAAAATTTACTCATGAGATTATATGCATCTTTTAATATCACAATATATTTATTTAATATTATATTATTATTATAAATTTATAATTTTATATAATATTATAATTATAACATTGTCAATTTATTTATTTATTAAATATTGATGAATGCAATGACACTGGCCACAAGATTAACTGTGGGCCAGACTCAATTTGCTTTAGTAAGATGGGGGCTACGATTGCTATCAACGAGGCAAGATAGCCTCGCGGTCAGCTATAATTTTGGGTAAGACCCATATTTTCCGACTTTTTTTTATTTATTTGAAAAAGAGAAAAATTAACATATCTTAATATTAAAAATATCATATATTTAATAATAATTATATGATAAATTTAATAAATTTAAAATTTATATTATATTTTATACATTTAATAAAACATTTTAACATTTTTAATGTTAAAACATCTTAATTTTCTCTTTTTTCAATTTAT